AGCCAGCCGAGGCCCCAGCAGCCCCTGTCGGACGCGGACCTGGTCGGCCGTGGGCGGCAGAGAGGACCAGTGGGAGCAACAGCCAAGTCACAAGGTGAAGAGGCCGCCCGGTGACGGAGAGCGCAGAGCGCGTGCGCGCGTGTGTGTGTGTGTGTGTGTGTGTGTGTGTGTGTCTGAGTGTGTGTGTGAGTGTGTGAGTGTGAGCGCGTGTGAGTGTGAGCGCGTGTGTGTGTGAGTGTGTGTGTGTGTCTGAGCGCGTGTGAGTGTGAGCGCGCGTGTGTGTGTCTGAGCGCGCGCGCGTGTGTGAGTGTGTGTGCGTGTCTGAGCACGTGTGTGAGTGTGAGCGCGTGTGTGTGCGTGTGTGTGTGAGTGTGAGCGTGTGTGTGTGCGTGTGTGTGTCTGAGCGCGCGCGTGTGTGTGCGTGTGTGTGTGTCTGAGCACGTGTGTGTGTGCGCGTGTGTGTGTCTGAGCGCGCGTGTGTGTGCGTGTGTGTGAGTGTGTGTGTGTGCGTGTGTGTGGGTGTGTGTGGGTGTGTGTGGGTGTGAGTGTGGGTGTGGGTGTGAGTGGAGTAAGACGTGGGCCAGCAGCCGGTGCACAGACCCCAAATGAAGGGCCACATGGGTCCTGTGAGTCCCAGGGGGTGTCCTCTCCCCCAGCCGTGAGCCTGCTGCCGGGGCCGCGTCCCTCCTCCCTGAGCCGCACTGCACGGGGGTGACGTGCGCCTGCGTCTCACGCCCGTTAGAGCAGCCTTGGTGATGCCGGGCGGGGCCGGGGTAGCTTTGGACACAGGACGACAAAGCCGCGGTCCCTCGCGTGGCGTTGGTCCTCGGACGCGGAGTGAGGTCCAGGCTGGGGTAGCCGTGCCCGGGCACCGGCTCGGGTTGCAGACTGCGCAGCTGCAGACGGGTTTGCACGGAGAAGCACCCGGGCAGGGACCCGTGTTCCTGACGACGCCCCCCGGGCCCTGTTGTCCGGCTCCCGCGTGTTGCGGGGGGTACAGTGTCCTCTCTCCTCTAAGAGCTCCAGATCTCCGCTGGATTCCAGGAGCTCTCCTTAGCGGAGCGAGGAGGTCGCCGCCGAGATTTCCACGACCTCGGTGTGAACACCAGGCAGAACCTGGACCACGTGAAAGAGTCCAAGACCGGTGGGTGCCCCACGCTCCATGGGGGGCGGGGGCACC